TTGCGTGTGTCTTATTGCTTTATATTGAGTTAAGTGGTTCAGAAGTTGAGTAAAGCCAAGGTAAGTGTTCCTTCCAAATTCTTTTCAAGCTTAAGTTGTGTCTAGCATTCTAACTCGCATACTCGTACATTCAATGTACTGATGCCAATTGACCTGCATCTTATTATGATGCAGACGTAGGTAACCAGGATCAGCATCCAGCGCATCGTTGATTCTAGTTGAGCTCCAGAGTTTGTTTGTGAGCCTCCTTGCATTTCGGAGGACTCCTTCTACTTTGCTTTCAGTATTTCATTGTTAGGATGATCGGGGGTCTTGTCCCAACATCCCTCTTTGTTTTAGAGGCTTCATAGACAGTTAGTAGTCAGTTGTCTTTATATTACCATTTCATATGTTAAGACTTGAGTTGCCATTTTGGCGAAAGTTAAATGTTTTATCTTTAAACGTTCTATGTATTTTGATAAGCAATTGAGTAGAGATGCATTGAATCTTTGTATTAATGTTTTTAAGTCTTCCGCTGAGTAAGTAAGCCAGGCCATGGGTTCGCTTGGGACCAGCAATGGTTCTCGAATGCCGGCCACGTACAGGGTGTACGCTCTGGGAGTGAAAAACTAATTCATTACTTACTAAATGATATGGTAGTATACTTTGTTGGCTTTCTAGAGAGGCACACATTGATTGCATGTAGTTTTTTTACCAAAATTATTTGCGGGTGTTTGTGACGATTTAATAAATTATGTGTGTTAGTTCTAATGGGTAATTATAGGTATTTATAAGTTCAAATGAGGTATGGATCGTGAAATAGAATTTTTCTATACCCAAAACAAATATCTAAAGCCAAAGTTATGAACGTTCAAAGTTTCTCTTATTTACAAATACACTAGTCATTGGTAAAATGGTCATAATGAGTTACTTTAAACATCAAATGATACAAACATTGTGTCATTTGATATAAAACTCATTGACCAACAATTTCATATGTCATGGCTCACCTAATTCATTATGTATTAAAAGATATGGTAGTATGCATTTTTTGCCGTCTAGAGAGGCACACATTGATTGCATGTAGTTTTTTTACCAAAATTTTTTGTGGGCATTTTGTGATAATTTAAAAAATTATCTGTGTTAAATCTAATGGGTAATTATAGGTATATTTAAGTTCAAAAGAGGTATGGACCCTGAAATAGAGTTTTTATATATCAGAAAGGAACATCTAAAGCCAAAATTATGAACGTTCGAAGTTTTTCTTATTTACAACTACACTAGTATCTGGTAAAAAGGTCATAATGCTTTACTCTAAACATTAAATGATACAAAATTGTTGACATTTGAAAGAAAACTCATTATCCTACAATTTCATCTATCATGGCTCACCTAATTCATTACGTACTAAACGATATGGTAGTATACATTGTTTGTCATCTAGAGAGGCACACATTGATTGTATCTAGTATTTTTACCAAAAAAATTTGTGGGTGTTTGTAATGAATTGGTAGATTTTGTTTGTTAGTTCTAATAGGTAATTATAGGTTTTTATAAGTTCAAATTAGGTATGGACAATGAAATAGAGTTTTTCTATACCCAAAACGAGTATCTAAAGCAAAAATTATGAACTTTCGAAGTTTCTATTATTTACAACTACACTAGTCTCTGGTAAAATAGTCATAATTCTTTACTTTAAACATTATATGATACAAAATTGGTGGAATTTGAAAGATAACTCATTGACCTACAATTTCATCCATCATTGCTCACCTAATTCGTTACGTACTAAACGAAATGGTAGTATAGATTGTTTGGCTTCTATAGAGGCACACATTGATTGCATGTAGGTTTTTGACCAAAACTTTTTGTGGGTGTTTGTGATGACTTCATAAATTAGGTGTGTTAGTTCTAATAGGTAATTATAGATATTTATAAGTTCAAATGAGGTATGGACCGTGAAATAGAGTTTTTCTATATCCGAAATAAACATCTAAAGCCAAAATTATGAACGGTCAAAGTTTCTCTTATTTACAACTACACTAGTCTCTGGTAAAATAGTCATAACACTTTACTTTAAACATTATATAATACAAAATTGGTGGCATTTGAATGAAAATTCATTGACCTACAATTTAAACTATCATGGCTCACCTAATTCCTTACGTACTAATTGATATTGTAGAATACATTGTTTGCCTTCTAGAGAGGCACACAATGATTGCATGTAGTTTTTTTACCAACATTTTTTGTGGTTGTTTGTGATGATTTAATAAATTATGTGTGTTAGTTCTAATGGGTAGTTATAGGTATTTATAAGTTCAAATGAGGTATGGACAAGTAAATAGAGTTTTTCTATACCCAAACGAACATCTAAAGCCAAAATTATAACATTAGAAGTTTCTCTTATTTACAACTACACCAATCTCTGGTAAACTGGTCATAACGCTTTACTTAAAACATAAAATGATACAAAATTGGTGGGATTTGAAAGAAAAGTCATTAACCTACAATTTCATCTATCATGGCTCACCTAATTCATTACGTACTAAAAGATATGGTAATATACATTGTTTACCTTCTAGAGAGGCACACATTAATTGCATGTAGTTTTTTGACCAAAATTTTTGTGGGTGTTTGTGATGACTTAATAAATTATACGTCTTAGTTCTATTGGGTATTTATAGGTATCTATAAGTTCAAATGAGGTATGGACCGCGAAATAGAGTTTTTCTATACCCGAAACAAACATCTAAAGGCAAAATTATGAAAGTTCAAATTTTTCCTTATTTACAACTAAACTAGTCTCTGGTAAAATGGTCATAATGCTTTACTTTAAACATTAAATGATACAAAATTGATGGCATTTGAAAGAAAACTCATTAACCTACGATTTCATCTATCATGGATTACCTAATTCATTACGTACTAAATGATATTGTAGTGTACATTGATTTCCTTCTAGAGAGGCACATATTGATTACATGTAGTTTTTAGACCAAATTTTTTGTGGGTGTTTGTGATGATTTAAAAATTTATGTCTGTT